AAATAAGCAAGGTGGAAGGGTTAAATAAAAAGATGAATAAATGGCTAAAAATTAGAACAAATGCAAATGAATGATTGAAAGTTGAATTAAGGGCTGAGTTTTCCCACATTAAGGGTGGAGATGAGGTAAATGATTCCACAAAATTTCATATAAATAGGGGTGCTGAAAAAATAAAAAGGGGAGAAAAAATTGAAAAACACAAAGGAAACTCTTACAAAATTTCCACTCAAAAATCACCCAAAATAATCCTAACCAATTTTAAACCCTCTAAATCAATGGATTAAGCTTCAATTTTGAGTTGGGAGCTGAATACCTTCAAGAAGAAAAGTAAAAGAGCTAATTCAAGTTTAGGGGGAAAAGGGGAGGAAGAGGATTTTCAAGCAACCTACCTTTTTGAGGTTAATTTGAAGCTTAATCATGTAAGTTAACCTCACCTACATCACAAGCATGCTTAATTTCAAGTCAATTTCATGCTTAATTGCTTGATTTGATTTAATTGCTCAATTAGGCAAAATTAGGGTTATGGTTTTTTATGAACCCAATTTGGGGGTTTTGAATTCGTTTCATTTAATTGGCGTTTTAGCACTTGATTCCGACTTATTTGAGTATGAATTAATGTTTAGGAAGGAAAAATTTGCTAAAAATTGAAGAAAATGGGTAATGAAGGAATGTGTTTTTCTTGAAGTCGGAGAGTTACACGACCTACCACACGGGTGTGTCCGTGCTCGTGTAATTAAGAAATATGTTTTTCTTGGAGGCAGAGAATTACACGGCCTCCCATACGAGCGTGTCCTTTCCCGTGTAATGAAAAAATATATTTTTCTTGAAGGCGGAGAGTTACACGACCTACTACACGGGTGTGTCCTTGCCCGTGTAATTAAGAAATGTGTTTTTCTTGGAGGCGTAAAGTTATACGACCTCTCATATGAGCGTTTCCTTTCCCGTGTAATGAAGAAATGTGTTTTTCTTTACATGAAGAAATATGTTTTTCTTGAAGGCGGAGAGTTACACGGCTTCTCACACGGGTGTGTCCTTTCCCCGTAATGAAGAAATGTATTTTTCTTAGAGGCAGAGAGTTACACGGGCATGTCCTTTCCCGTGTAATGAAGAAATGTGTTTTTTCCTAGAGGCGGAGAGTTACACGGCCTCTCACACGGGTGTGTCTATGCCCGTGTATTTCACTCGATCACTTAAAAGTCACTATTTAAGTTTCATACCCTAAATTAGTTCATTCATGCTCAAGATAATGTAAAAGGGATGGTTTAGAATAAAAGCGTTCATGAAAATCTAAAGAAAAATTGATTCGAGAAAAATTAGACCTTAGGCCTATTAAGGCCCAAATCGAAATTGGACTATGTAATCAATGAAATAATACTTAATTAAGTTAGAACATGGATTAATACCTAATTTGATAAATGTTAGATGCGAAAGGGTAGTTAGGAGCATAAGGAAAATAACTTAGAAATGTAAAATGTGAAGTAAATCAATGAAACTAAAATGAAATATAATTGTTTACTTACTCTTGTGTTATGATTTTATTTTCTCTCCAATAAGGTATGTGATGCCATGATTAATGAATGATGGTTATGCTTGAGTTGTGATTGGTGATGAGAATTGTGATTATGGTAACCGATGCGCCAATAATGATTAGATTGCTTGATACGGATTGATGTTATTTATGTCGTTATGCTATCCGATTTTATTCGTGTTTTCATAACATGGTTACACGATCATTTAGAACATGTACTTGAGTATCATTGTTAGCATGCATTGTCATTCAAAATGCATATGCATGCCAAAGCTCATGAATAATATTTTAAGTCATGGAAACGTATTTTATGCTATGAGTTTCCTATAGCGATCGAAAGTATTTTAAAGAAAAGGATTTTCATGACTTTGAGGATTTTTATGAGGATGGACTTTATGGGTTTTTCATATTTTTAATGGTAATGGTTCGTGGTCGAACAAATACGGACGTGTACTTTTAGAGGCTCGTAGGGCGCGTCTATGGATGGGTCCGGTTCGCCGGACATATGTTATGAAAACCCCGAAGTACCTAGATGGGACATGTCCAAAGACGAAAAAGGATTTTCAAACTGTTTATGAAATGGTTTATGACATGAGAAAAAATGAGTTATTATCTATATATCGGTATTTTATACATGCACGTACACTACATGTATACATTAACTTACTAGGTCGTAGCTCATATAGTTCCTTGTAGTGTAGATTAATAAGATACTATGGCTTATTTCTCTACAAAGCTGATTTCCGAGGAGTGCACCGGACGATTATACCTTGGATGGAGCTTCGGTATCTAGGTGGACATACTTAGTTTTGTATGTAAATTAGTAACTCGTATGAACCGTAATACCGATAGTAAAATGATAATGTACCGATAGTAGTGTAGTTACTTTAAATTGCCCATTGCATGCTAGCATCCTTGAATATTCGGGAGAATTTCTTAATTAATCGTTAAATGAAAAGAATAGTAAAAATGAAAGAGAATAAGTAATATCATAATAATTGATAATAAGGAACTACATCTCAATGAATTACACTAGTTAATAAAGAAAAGATTTGAACTAGCAAATAACCTCGAATCTAGTTTCAAGTATCCAAGTAAATCGATCAAACGCGAAAAATTTATTATGTCTTTTAAGTTAAAGTATAGGACCTACCCGGCTAATATTAGATTTTTAAAACATAGATTTCACTTTAGACATGAAGATTAAGTCACGAGTGCCTTGTTAGCTTGCATTCATTGCACTTTGAATGTGGGTTAACGATGATAATATTCTCAATCTTTTATGTCTTAGGTTAGGGGTGTTACGTGATTGACTCGTTGGTAAGTCATGTAATCAATTCTTAAGAACCCTTGTACAATTATTAAAGATAAACAAAAGTCAACCAAAAATAAGGACCCTAACTTGTGTTCTAGTACACTATACGAAGCTATTAAAGCCTCCAAAGAGCACAAATAAAGCAGGAATTAGAAATCAATAGCTTGCCTAGACAAGTTGCTCGAACATAATAGATGACCTGCCAAATAAGCTTTAGAGTTTTGGTAGCTTTTCACTAATATTGAAACATTAGAAAGAAACTAGGATAGAAGTGGCTGGATGATGAAAAGTAACAAAGGATCCAAAAATTCTCATAAAGCAGCATTAATTCTGAAGCACGAATTTCTCATATTTTCTACAATTAAAATATCAGATGAGCAATGAGAACCAACCACCAAGACAGAGAAGCCAATTTATAGCTAGTACGAAGGGGACATCAGACATGCATTCTTCTCAGGTGGCAGTTTGCATGAACCTGAACTCTTAAAGTCTCAATATAGTTGGTTCCATAAACACTTTTGGTAAAATCAGCGAGATTCAACTGGATTTGATTTGAATTATCCAATAACCTTCATAAATTTTAACACTAATAGAATCATAAATTTGAAATCCATAAGGGAAAATTACAGATCAAAATGAAATTCGCTACTATGTAAATCAAGTTAAATAGAAATTAGACTAGTCAATATAACAGAAAACCAAAATTTTGAAACGCAAGGGTAAATATTACAAATTAAACTGAAATTTACTATTATTTAAATCAAATTAAACATAAATCAGACTGATTAATATAAAATAGATACAATTTTTTTTTTTTTAAAAAAAAACCATTCATCAGTTGATGAAAAAACTTAAAAATACTTTGAAAAAATTAGAGTTTCTCTTTGAGAATTTCATAAACCACTTTAAACACACTAGATTTGTTTTTAGAAGTTTTGTTAGGGGAAAAAAAAACAGCATAAACGTATCAATTTCGAATCAAACATCAACTTTAAACAATTTAAAAAACCTTTAAAATAGTTTTGGTCGGAATTCTACAAATATAAAATTAATTCAAATGTTTCATGCATTACTACCATTTTTGGTTAATAAAAAAATTCAAATATATTGTAGTTGTTGATTTACATTTATACCTTCTATTCAACTTTGATTCCTCTTCAAATTAAATTCAAAGAGTCATAACAACTTCAATCAACTAGAGATAAAAAAAAAAAACTTATATATCTTTTTAAACGAGATTTTATTAAAAAAAAAAAACGAGCTTTTTAAACTCTCTCTTTCTTCAAAAAGAGAGGAAACAAAGAACCAAAGATGGAAGAGAGGAGACAGCGTTGGGTGAGACTGGTAAAAAAAAAAAATATTTAACTGGCAGCTGAGATTTATTTATATATACGAAAGTATTTTAATATTTTCATTTTCATTCTATCCTTATTTGAAAATTCATCATCAAATATTTATCATAAAAAGTATAATTTATAAAAATATAAAATATTACTGTGTTCAAACCAACAACCAGTTTAAAGTAATTTATCATTTTATTTAATCGAAGCCGATAGAAATTACTGATAGTAAACTGCAAGAGGCGAGAGTACACGCATGGATCCAACACTAGAATAAGTATGTAAGTAGGAGGAAATAAATCCCAAGAAGTTAACCCACCAAATCAAACAAACAATGTCCGTAATTTTTTATTTTGTTTTTCATTTTTTGTCTAGGGGTCAATGGTATCCATTTAGAGTGAGAGGATAGGGATGGAAAATTTATTCATCTCATCGAGGTCCAGCTCATATAACAAGGAATAAGGCCTTGAATATCATTGACAAGTCTGTGATCCATAACCTGTGTTTGTTAGCGCTAAATTTTCGTTGTTTACAATCTTACATAGATTCGATCAATATGTTCATAAAATTGTAACGTAACCAAGCAAGATCATCTCCATGAGAAGCCGACGGCATAACATTCTCCTTCAAAGCCATTCTTGAAGCTACAATCTCGCTGTCCAAAATCCATGTACCGCTTATATATTTAAGGCCCAGCTCATGTAACAAAGAATAATACGGCCTTCAATTTTGGCTAACCCAAGTTGTGTTACTGGTATAATAAGGCCTTATTGGTCATCTTTGGAATCTTTATATTGTTACGAGTAATTGCTATTAGCTAGTTGATAGTTTTTGCTTTATCTGGTTCCGTCCTCTTTTCACGAAGGAAGTTGACAAGGCCTTGAAGGGAAGCCTCAGCATCAGTGGCGTTCTTCATCAACTCCCATGCCACTTCTGCTGGGGTGACGTCTACCTCCTCAATCAGTTCTTCAATTTGCTCAAAGAGGTCGTGATGGAAAAGCCCCAGATAATTAAAGGCAAGTTTCTTGAATACAGAAATGTTGCAGTATGACATGCAAATGTGCAAGTCCATACTGCCAGGTCTAAGCAAAGCAGGATCCAAATGCTCCCTGTGATTGCTCGTGATGATGATGATACGTACGTTCATCACCACAGCTAGACCACAGGCCATCCATGAAATTGAGGACTCCTGAGAGCGTCACGGCCTGTTGAAATGTAAAATACAAATATTTTAAAACTAATGGTAGCATACAACCATGTCAAAAGTGAAGTAATGACAGGCTACTAGCCTACTAGATGCTTTGTTACTAAAGAATGGGACAACTAACCTTATTGTCTCCTTGATTCTGGGGATCATTCTTCGATTCTCTATTTTGCAATTTGGCATTGCAATTGATGTCCTCTAAGACAATAATCGATCTGCTGGGCGTGCTAAGTAACAAAAACCTAAGTTCTGAGTTGGACTGGACATCGGTCAGATCCAAGTCATAGATGTCGAATTTGAGGTGATTAGCCATGGCTGCAATTAAGCTTGACTTGCCTGTGCCTGGAGGACCATACAGCAAGTACCCGCGTTTCCAAGCTTTCCCAATTCTTCTGTAGAATTCCTTTCCGTTGATGAAGGAATCCAAATCTTCCATCAACGCCTTCAAAAGTTTGGAATCCATGGCGAGAGTCTTGAAGGTCATTGGATGTTTTAGAACGATCCCATTTTGGTTGTTCCAACATCCGTAAGCAACTGTATGGAGTTTGACCACGTTGCTCTCCTCTTTGATGGCCTTTGCTCTCTCCAAAATTATGGCAGGTACGAATTTAGAACTTGCTTCTTGTAGTTCTCGTGAAAACTTAACTCGTAGCATCTGATTTCTGATCGAAGAGATGCATTAAGGTCTCCCTGGTTTAGATTTCTATAAACCGATGCTTCAACTTGTGTATAGACTAATTTCCATTTCAATTGTATATCGTCAAAATCATCAGTAACCTCTTCATTCCTATCCATGGTGATCTCTAATACGTTTTCTGTCTCGATCTTGCCCACCTTCACTCTTCGCATTGAAGGGGATGTTTTAGTAGCCAAGTATATATTTACAGCTTCAAAGACTTGGTTTGCAGATGGTCCTTTGAACTCTTCAATAAGAATGGTGAGTTGAGACGAGAAACGCCGAGAAAAAGTTTGTATGGTAAAGAAGAAGTAGTCCCGGATCTCATGAGGTAATAAATCATTGGTAATGCTCCGAATAAGCATTGCTGAAGCAGCGAGTGAGGCTGCTGTTGATAAAAGGCATTTTTGTTTTGGATAGTTTTGAGTATGACAACATTTTTGGGAAAAGTACTGATGTATATAATTCAAAGAGTGGATTGTAATAAAAGGAAATGAATGTAAGCCTTGTGTTTGTTTTAGGTTTTTGGAATGTTTGCAATCCAGGTACAGTGAAGAGTTTGTTTCCTTCTTTGGCATTTTAACTTGTTTTCTTTGTAGGATTTATACTGCTAGTTTGGGGGTTTCGATTGGACGATTTCAAAGAGCCTTAAAGGCATGATGCTGATTCTTCTTTTCCTTCTTTCCCAAGGAGGTAGAGAAGACTTTGATAATTATGTACAAGAAGACTTTTATATGGTTTGAAAGAGTTTTGGCATGAAAATTATTGAGAAGGCAATCAGAAACCTGTTCGTGTATTTTACTTTTTCCTCTGTTGCCATCTAATCTGATAATTCTAAGCAGCTAAAGTTGGGTCGCAGATAAGTTCCAAAATATTTCTCAAGAGGATCATAACAGAAATAGCAATAGGACTCTGGAGAAATGAAAGTTCCGATTGATTACCGAAGAAAGAAAAAAAAAAAAAAACACGTACAGAGAGATATATGTGATCTGGTGATAGATAACCCTGAGATCATTTGGGCTTCACCCACTGTTGCTATAAAAGAAATACTAATCACTGTAACATCTTGGTTCTGCAAAGGGCCAGGTACTCAAACCATCTCAGATTGAGGCAGCTCTTGGGGTTACTTCAGCCCAACCAACTGTGACAGTAGTAAAGTGAGAGTGGGTATATGAATGGCCTAGGCCCAATAAGATGTTAGAAGGATAAAATCATGAATATGCCCCGAAGTGTGATTCCTTTATGTTATCCCATTTTGCCATACAGCTAGCTCTCTTTGGACATTTCTCTATTAGAGTCAGAGTTTTTCAACAAATATAACCTGATTGGCACGTGAGTCCCCTAGTTATCAACAAAACATAGTAATGTAGGCCAAGAGACATGGGGGAAGCCAATGTCTTTACCCCGATAATTCTTCCTCTGTACATTCAGTTAGGATACATGGAGGAGACTACCATACATTTCTAATAGCCCCTTTCTCAATTTCTAAACAACATAACGTTCAAAATGTCGGTATAGGATACCATAGTTTTAAATCATAAACGGTTGAAAAAATGATCACGGTCTCTATTGTCGATCGTAGCTTCCTATAACACTAAACTAATGATTACGGAATGCTGCGAAGCTGTTACATAACAATCGTTATATATCATAACGGTCGTTATTTAAAACTATGTTAGGCACCAACTCTACCATGTACTCGTTAACCATGTCGGATAGACTTGTTTATACTCCAAGTCTCTCAACTCTTTCCGTACTTTAGTACTCGAAAATGACTAATTCTAAAGAATCATAAGAAAAATAACCTCCTCGATGCTTAACTAGACATGCTCACAATAATTAGTTATAGATCTCATATCATGAAACTTGTCATATATATATATATATATTCACACACCCAAGGCTTCTAGCAGAACTAGTATGTTAGAATTTGAACTCGTGACCTCTTATAAGAAACTAATACCACTTGGACTATAAACTCTTTTGATCGAAACCTGTCATATTTGTAGTGATTAAACAAAATAGTTGAGGTAGAATACCTATCGCGAGTTAGGGACTTGCCTCATCTCCAAACCATTCACTCCCACTAGTTGCCAAATGCTAAAGGTTCATACATTATCGGGATCGGACACCCTAGATTCCTCAAACTTGAATTTGGCCAAGGAACAAAAATAATAAAAAACACTAGAACACTAAGCATTACAAATCAATTGTAACATGCATAATTAAGTGTTTTTAACCATGATTTTTTATTTTTTATTTTTTATGGTGATGCTATTACAAATCAATTTAACCATGTTTTTAACCATGATTAGTTAATGGTGGAGAGGTCTGTAAACGTAACATGTATACACACACACACACACACACACTACCAACTAAAAGCATGGCATACTATTCTTTCAATTATCTTAGTAGATTCGGACTACTCATATTATTAAAAAGGCTAATGATGTCTTGGTTGGTTGACAAACCATGCTTTCTCCTTAACTCTTGGTTGTCATTATTTTTCAATTATTCCTTCTTGTTGTTTTCATATTTTCATATTGTTTAAGCGGATATGTATGGGATTATTTTTGTTCGAATTTATTCTAACAAGTTTTTTTTTAATTTTTTTTTTTGAAAACTCTACTTTCAATTAAAAAAAATGGCATGCTAATTAGATTGATTCATTAATACTTGTTTTCTTTTTTGGGATTACTTAAACCAATACAAGCATTTAACAAACTAAAAACTTCGATTAGATTCAAATGATATGTGTTGGAATATGGGCTTTACTTAGCCCAATTTGATCTGTCTATGAAGGAACTTTCTAAACTAGGTCTACTAACGGGACCTAGTATATATTTTTAGAAATAGATATGAGTTATCTTTTGATAAACTCAAATTTAATATTTAAATTATACTTGTAGTGAGTTCAAACTATCTATCATATAAAGAGATACATTCTATAAATATACTTCTTACATGTACAATCTAAAATACATAATAGAAACCTAAACTTCCTTCTCATGTGTTGAGCTTCTCCCTTTTCTATCTCAAAAACTTCCGAATCACACTAAAATAGTCTAGTAAGTCATGGAGATCATTGATAGATACATTAGATTATATTTTTATTCTCTTTATATTTAGTTTATTTGCTATGTTTTATGCCTTATTATAATAATGTTTGCTTATATTCATGTTTAAGATATAAACTAGGAATTGAGAGTAATTGTGCTTTAAAGTTAGAGAATTTTAGCATGTTTAACTTAGACCTTCTAGGTTCTTGCAAGTTTTCTAAAGCCTTGGAGTTGGATTTGAAAGAAGTGACCTTTAGAGATTTTGTAAAAAATATCTCAAGATTTCTAGAATGGTATGGTGGATAAAACTCCTCGTTTGAGTCTCCAAATGACATTTCATAGTCTAGTTTATAAAGTTGTTCGAATTTGATGTGGAATCCAGAACAATTATAGATTTTAATTTATATTTGGAGCTTTAAACTTCTAATTGATGGAAGGCTAAACCCATGGGAGATTTAAAAGGTACACCTTTAATTATTATAAAGGGCTTGAGTCTAAACTAGGTTAGTTTGATGGAAGGATTTAGCTACAAAGTCGGATTCTTAAGTCTAAGTGGACTGGTAGAGTCGGTGGCAATGTTTAGCCTATAACTAGAGTTGTGGTTCTCCTATTGATGCAAGGCTTAATGCTTTGGAAAGATAAGAAATATGGATACTACTCTTTAGAATAAACAAAACTCTAATTTGGTATGTATTTAGTCCATATCTAGAAGCAAAGTCAAAATAAGAAATCATACTTTACGAATTCTAAGAAAGAATTAAGAGTCGATTAAATTTTTCATTATATTTGGTGGGATATAAATAGGGATTGATAGGACATAAACCCTCCTTCTTCCTCTTGCCTTTTCTTTGAATTTTATTGGATATTTTATTGCATTCATGTCTAGCTAATTTTACACGATCAATTCAAGAATACTTAATCCGGTTAGTTAATTGTGAGATTTTGTTTTTAACATCAATAATTTTTCTATTCACGTATCCGTGGTTCTTAATTTTATATGTTATGATTACATGATTAAATCGATTAAGAGATCTATTAATTGATTCAATTGTGTGGTCTATAGCTAAACTGAAATCATAATCCGTAATCGTTATGACTTTCGGTTAGAGTAGCAATTAAACAAGACAATTATGATCCAAATTTTCGTTATTTGTTTAAAAATAGACATAGAGTGAATTAAATAAATTGATGCTTGGTCAATTGTTGTTCATATTTAACTCCTTTCTAATTTTTATAGTGTTACCACTAAATTTAAGAGGATTGCTTAATACCGGTTAATTTATTGATAAGGATTAATTTGTGTGCTAAGTCGAGATTAATGAAATTATGAAAGATAAAGATTATTTGGCTTCCTAATAATCTCTAGTTAAATATTTGAATAGAAAAATTATATATTTAGATATTTAGTGATCAATTTGCAACCATGAGAAAGTTCCTTTGAATCGATCATCTTTGATTGAGTTTTTCTTTATTGTTAATTTCTATTCGTTATAAACAAAACCCTTTTTTTTCCATTCCCTTGTAATTGTGATTTGATCAATTAGTCCTTTTGAATTCGTCCCTTGCTCATTATATCTACATTTCAAGAATTAGAAGGTAAAAAAAAAAATTTGGTTGTGCTTGGCATGCATCAATCATTGGTGCGGTTCATACGTGATTGCACCACCCGTTCGACGTACGAATCGATCCACCAGTCAAACCGCTTCCTTATAGTCGTATACTCTTGACATTGATATCGAGCTAGATTGGTACTCATGATCCTTTACATAAAGACAAACATTCTATAATTTTCCATGATTTTTTTTATGATTTATTTGTTTTAATATTATTTTTCTAAGTTTTTAAAAAAGAAAATTCGTATTAAATAATATTTTTTAAGAAACAAATCATGAAAATTTATTATAAATGCATGTTTAGTGTGGTTTAGCAACATATTAAAATTTTAGATTTATTTGATATCATATGCTTTGAAAAAGTCATTTTCTATTCGAATTTTTTGATCAGAATATCTAAAAATATTTTTTGAATCATCGAGTTGATTTTTATAGTATTATAGTTCATTATCTCCACATACTATTTATAAATTTTCATAACTTTTAGATCTGTATATGATTTATTATGATTTTTTTATGATTCGTATATTTTTTTCCCTAAAGTTACTTGGTTAATTAAGAATCCTTTTTACACACACACATATTCTTAGTAATTATGTGTGAATTTCAAACACTATATTAGAGATACCAGATTTCAGAACCGATTGCATCATTGAAATAGAAAGTCAATTTTTTTTTAATGCGAACTTT